ACACTTTATCCTTTCCCATCAAATGGTGCAATAGGACATTTATTTTGTTTTGTTTTTGGAAATGGGTGGGCTGTTTTAATGTTTTTATGTTTTATTTCGGGGCGAAGGCTCGGTGCCATAGATAATAAATTCGGTGCAGTCAGTCAGAACTAACTGGTTAAAAAAAAAAAAGAAAAAAAAGAATCACTCAAATATTGTCATTGTTGAAGAGATAGAGAGTATAACTTACTAAAAGTCAAAGAGAAATTTCAAATAGCACTTTTTGGCTCTTTGCTTCTTTGGTGAAGAGTGGGGGTCTAGTTATTATTATGGGTATCTCTTATTTTTCTGTATACAGTTGGATGTGTGATTTAAAATATATATACACAGGTATTTCCATATTTGGTGCATTTAGGTCTGTGTTTGGGTGTGTGTATGTTTTGGCACATGCAGGCAGGTCGTTAACCTCTTCTTTCACTCAGCAACATTACTCATAATATATTTTCATTCTACTCAAGAGGCAGTATTTTTATAGTCACCGTGACTATTTTTTGTCAGCCATCCAGACTGTTAATGAACCCAGTTTATTCAGGAGAAATCACAAAAATCAGACGAGCTATTCAGGAGTAAAACTCACATATAAGTACAGGTAATACAAGACTATCAATTCACGTGGCTTTGGGGTTTTTTTAGGGCTGTTTAAAGTGTCAATCTGCGTGCACGTGCAATGACATGCACACTCGCACACGCCCACACAGACGTATGTGCTCTCACACACGTATGCTTGTACACTGTATGATTGTGCTGATGAGAGAAAATGTCCTTTTCGGATGAGCGAGGTGAGTGTTAGCTCATAAAGCAGGCATGTTGACCATGTGCAATATTTCTAAACGACAAAAAAATATAAAAATAAATATTGAAGATATTAAAGATCTAACACAAAAAACGTGTTGACTTTTTGTTGTTTCTTTGATCAGCCCGAGTGAATTTTCTGTCGTGTTTTAATATTTTCAGCCTCGTGTATGATAAAGTTCAAGTTTATTTATGTAGCGCCAAGTCACAACATACGTTGTCTCAGGGCACTCTACATAAAAAGAACAATGTAAAGAAGAAASCAGCAGATTGTGTTGAATCACTTCATCACAGTCTCCCATCCTGAGCAAACGGTGGAGAGGAGAAACTCCCTGCTAATCAGGAAGAAAGCTCCAGCAGAACCAGGCTCAGGACAGGAGACCATCTGCCTCGACCGGCAGATAAACTGAAAAAAATAATAATAATAACTTTCTGTAAAAATCCAGAGCAAATCTGAACGACTTCACTGAAGTTTAAACCCACTTGGTAAAGCTCAAAGAAACCAAACATTAGCCAACAGCTAAAATTAGCAAAGTAGCGTAAATCTAAAAAAAAAAAAAAAAAAAACTAGCAAAAAGCTGCAAGAGGCTAACTAAAAGTAGCGAAAAGTTAGCTAAAATTATTCTAGCTGCAGGCTAGAAGTTTCAGAAGGCTGACTAAAAGCTAAAAGTAGCAAATTTTTAGATAAGTGTCAAATTCTAGAGGCTAAAAGTAGTACAAGATCAACTATAAACTGCAAAATGACAGCTAACTGTATCCAAAGGCTAGCTAAAAAGTGATAAAAGATAGTAAAATATCTGCTAAAGCTAAGATTAACAAAAGCCTGGCTAAAATGTAAAGGTTTGGGTAAAAACAACATAATAAAAGACTAGCTAACAGTAGCAAAATGACTGCTAACTAAATTTTAGCTAAAAGCAGAATGTTATAAAACTAGTTTGAAACAAATTTCAATGAGAACTAATTTTTAATGTTTTTAAATTGTCTTGATTTATTTCTATGAGGTGGAAATGTGTAAATAAAGAGCTCAAATTATGGAGAAGTAGCTTGGTTGCAAACAACGTCTGAAAAAAATGAAAGTCAGAAAAACAATAGTGTAAATGCTGAATCAGCACTTACGCAAACAGAGCTACTAGATGAGCTGATTCAGAATATTTTTAACAATATCAAACGCATTTTAAATAAGTCCCCTAAATCCCTGGAACGTACAGCGTGTGCTCCAATGGGCCCTCATCTGGCAAATCAGTGCTAAAGAGTTCTTATTGGATTAGAGCAGCCTTTCACATTCAGGTCATATTGGGTGTAAGGTCAGACCTGGTCAAACAGCCTCCAAAAATAATAATAAAAAAATAAAATTTAATTAAAACTCTTAATCCCACCTCAGTCCAGTGTCACTGAGAAGTTTTATTTAGTTGCTTTTAAGGGATGAACCAAAAGTGAAAAATGACACTGCTGTGCCTAAAAGGAGCTGAAAAAGTATTTTTTTCCAATTCTTGAATGAATTGCACTAAAAAGCAAATAAATGATCAGCTAGATCCTCAAAAAGCAAAATTTGTTAATTTTAATACTTAAAATGCTTTCTGTATTAATAAACAGGGACTGATCTTGTTTTTAGCCTAATGATTTAAAAGTTGTAGTTGTTTTGATGAGTAAATGCTAAAGCAGCTAACCAGAGCAGCAGCTGCTCCAGACTACATTTCCCAGGCTGCATTGCGGCCGCTCTGTTTCTAGGCGTCTAGCAACAGCTTTCAGCCCAGACAGCCGGCGGCGGCGGCGGGAGTGCTCTTTTCCGTGTATCTCTTCAAAATTACTCGCTGCCGGACATTCTGAGTTAAAGTCGCTTGGCTTAAAACGGCAAAGGTGGAAAAATATAAGCCTGACCTCTGCTCAGAGATATGAGCGGCAGCGGGCGGCCCAGGACCAGCTCGTTTGCTGAACCGCCAGGTGTTCCAGGAGCCGTCGCCGCGCCCGCCGGATCAGCCGCTGCCGTGGGGAGCAGCACAGGAAAGTCCGGGGTCGCGCAGGCCTCCGGCAGCAGCTCCTCAGGATGCTCCAACCTCAAGCTAGCCAGTAAGTTTTCGCTACTTTTTATCTTTAAACCTAAAACCCGCCTGTCTTGTTAATATAATCACACGTTTTATCTGTAAAATATTTGACTTTATTACGTGTCTCAACCCGGCGGAAAGTCGCTGTTTCTCCGCCTCGGTGCTAACGAACCATCCCCGCTTCAGCATCTTGTTTTGTTCTGGTTTTCCGGTCGATTGCTGGATGAAACCAGTCCGTCTGGTGGAAAACCAGCCCGGCAGTCATCAGTAAACCACCAGGTGAATTTAGAAATGAAAGTGACAAGTTGAGAATCGGGGTCAGTAACTGTGACTGAGCAGAAAAAATAAATTGGTTGTTTGAAGGTGACTCGGATAACTTGGACCCTGCTGGAGGGTTTTGTGGTTGATGTCTGGGGGGGGTAGGGTCAGGACTGAACGGTGCCCACCCACGAAGGTCACCTGTGGGACGAAGCCTTGGCAGCAGGAGGGATGGAGGTGATGCTGGAAGTCCCACCTGCCCTCCGGCGTACCACAGGGTTTTTACTGGTGTCACCGCCCCTCCTTATCACGGTGCTGTCGGGTGTAAGCAGATATGTTCATTCAAACCTTATCATCCATTAACAGTGATGTGTCTCCTGATATTAGACCCCTGATGGGTGGTCACCTCCAGGTCAGAGTGGGACCTCTGATGTCTCAGATCTTCTGCAAACACTGCCCGAGGCCCTTTAAATTTAAATATTATATATTTTGATGAGTATTTTTCATTTAATCTTTAGCTCTGATGTTCACCAAGTGTCTGATGTTCACCAAGTGTCAGGATTAAACTCTTTAGCTACATGATGCAATTAGAAGCAAGAATAATCCTGATGTGGATAAAAAATAATCCAATATTTTGTATCTAATTGTAATAATCTGATGTCATTTTTTTGGGTTTGATGTTATGTATGTGACCAATCAAATCAAAATGAGGATTAGGTCAAATTTGGTCAAAATGAGCTAATTACTTTTTCAGATTCCTGCTTTAAAAGCTACATTTTGACACCTGGATCATTTTAATATCATAATCTTATCCAGAGATCTGACTTAATTTGTCTTGTTGGTTATGATAATACATTACTGTTTGGTCTGAATCCTAATTTTATGTAAATTTATTGAGTATTTTTATGTTAATATAAAGAGGAAACATCAAATAATATTTGTATATTAAGATTTCCAAGCTGGAAAGAAACAAAAACATTGCTAACTCACAGGGAAAAATTCTCAATTTTAAGGCATTTTTCCTCAAAATCTTTTTTTTGTTGTTGCTACTGCTAAAAAATGCTTCAAGAATTTTAGGATTATATTTCACACACTTCATTCAAATGATACATTGATAAGGTATAATTTCATTTTGTTTTGACAAAATGCAATTTTTGCACACGTTTAAATCAAAACCCTGTATCTGCCTATTTTTCCACTTTTGGACTTAATCCTCGTTTCGATGTGACGGGTTACTTATTGGGTGTGTTGACAGTTTACTTGATTATGTTAGCAAAATATTAACCAGTGGACAGATTTAAATTAAATTAGTCATTGGATTTAGCCTTGTGCAAGATGGCCGCCACAACCAAGAAACACAGAAATAGCTTCATGTCTCAGACAATAAGCAAAGTAGTTAAAGGCTAGCTCAAAGTAGCAATAGGACAGCTAACTGTATGCTAAAAAAATCAAAGTGCTGGCTAAAGGTAGTAAAAGGTTAGCTAAGAGCAAAAATGTAAAAGTTTGTGTAAAAACAAAGCAATAAAAACCTAGCTAAAATACAAAAGGCTGGTTAAGTAGTTAAAGGTTAGCTAAAAGCTAAAATTAGCGACAGGCTTTCTTGTAATTTTGGCGGTTAACAATGTAGGCGCTTCTGTTGGCAAAATATTTATAAACCAGTGGACATAATTCAATGAAACAAGTATATATGGACACTTGGACAGCATGACACTCAGTGGTTAGCACTGGTTTCTCACAGCTAGGAGGTCCTGGGTTTGATCCTCGGTCCAGACCCGAGCTCTTTCTCTGCGTACGCCGGTTTCCTCCCACAGACCAGAAACATGTTGGGCTGCTTTCAGGCCCAGGCCTCGCGCACAAAAGAGATCTGTGATCTCAGTGGGATTATCCTGGTTAAATAAAGGTTAATTAAACAATAACTCTGTTAATTTTGCAGCTACTGTGGTGTGGTAGTACCTGAGAGTCACCCTCAACAAAAGCACCAACAGATCATGAGATCTCACAGGGTTGGAGCGACTCCGTCCCGTCTCCTGAGATGATTTTAGTTTCAAACTGTGGTGGGTGATGGAATAACAGGCCTTTAATTAGTAAAGAGAAACCAGCAGTTAGAGCAGCTGATGGGAACTAAAACGCTCTGTGTTGTCATTAGAATCAGATTTATCGGCCTTTGATTTGTTGAAGCTACGAGCTGGCCACAGGTCAGTCGGGTAGTGAGAGCGGGTAAAATGAACAAACATGTCGAAAACAAAAGAAAGGAGAAAGAGATGGATGGAGCAGGAAAAGACAGGGTTAGAGGAAGATGTGACCAAATGTGCAGGGACCAAAATCATGAGTACAGGTTAGCAAACACCGTCTCCATGTTCTCACTATCCAGACTTGGTTCATGTGTTTGTGGATGTGTTCAGGGCTCACAGAACATTAAACACAGCCTATCAGGAACGTTTCATACCTGCATAAATCTTTAATATGTTTTATCAACTAAAATTAAAATAAATCCATGCTGACCAGAAAAACACATTTATTACTGTAAAAGAAAACATATTTCAGGAAATAGTCTGTTTTCTTGTTCTGTTTCTGCATTGATACATTGCAGTGTGATGTGTGGAACTTTCCTGATGCTGTAGGCCTGTTTGCACTGAATTCTTTGAAAAGTGCTGTAAAATCATGTATCATTGCAGTTTGTTTATTGGTAGCTGAAAAGGCCAGAGTCAGTCATGGAGTTTGATGTCAGTCATAGAAGTGAGGAGGAGGAGGAGGAAGGGAGATGAGCAGGGTGAGGAGGAGCAGAGCGGTGTCAGGTACATGTGCAGTGTGCAGGACTGTGTTTATTATAGGGGTGTAAGAAAATATCGATACACTGAAATATCGCGATATTTCATTTCCCAATACTGTATCGATATTCTAAAGCCCTGTATCGATTTTTAATTAAGGTTTAAAATGTCAACCCTCTTGCCAGCCGTTCATTTTTATGTTGTAGTTCAGCCTCTGACCACTAGTTGGCAGCAGTGAGTCAGCCATTTGGCTACTTTACCTCTTGAGCGCCAGAGAGTAAGGGTAGCATTAGCATTGTAAGTAAACATTAGCTTTTCTTTTTTATTTCAGTAAGAGGTTTTTTTTTCATAGAATTTTTGGACAAAAAAATCACAATATATCACAATATATCGCCTTGTTTACAGTATCGCAATATATCGGGATATGTCGTATCGTGACCCCTCTGTTATGATATGTATCGTATCGCCAAATTCTTGCCAATACACAGCCCTAGTTTATTATGGGTCTTTGTATTAAAATACATTAACATCCTGAGATCTGAGGATTGTGTCTAAATCTAGTCTTTTTGAAACCTAAAAAAGGCATAAAATTCCACAATTTCCCTTCATCATGTATTTTTCTTTCTTCTGACTGATCTATAAATGAGTTTTATCCAGTAATTACTCACTCTCACTAGCCCTAAACTGATTTTAATACTTTGTCCACAAATGTGTACAAGGTACAAAAACAAGTAAAATCTACATCTTTTATCATAAATCCACAGAAGACTCACTCTGAATAAAAATATTTCACCAAATCTTTCAGGAGAAAGTGAACATGTGTGTTTGAGGGGAAATATTGATTTTTTTTCATGGTCTTGGGTGAGAAAAAGACTGGTTTGGACTAAAATGTTGTGGTCCTAAGAGGCTACTCCAGTCACAGAAACATTAAGCCTAAATATTCACCTCTACAACTTATACCAGTGACTTTCTGAATTAAACATCTGACTTATTTTCCAGTGTTGATGAGCTTTTTATAACCTTCATTATTACAGATTTTCTTTTCATGCAGATAAAGCTGCACAAGATGCAGAGATGGATGGAGCTTATAGGTCTTGTCTCAGTTACAGTCATATAACCCTGAAGTCATTGACATAAAATAATGTGTAAAATAAGGAATAGAAAATTTAACACAAAATGTGTGATAATTGAAGAGGTGTTTTCTTACAGTTCATCAGTTGAAAATGGTGTGTTTTCACAAAGTCCTTGGTCAGTGTTTGGGGGGGGTTCATAAGGTCATATATGAGGATGGCGTTATGTAGTTAATATAGAGTTGCCCCCCCGGGTTAAACTATTAGATCCTCGCTTCAGTTAAATGTCAGCAGAAAGGACGCGGGCCCGACCGCCATAAATCAGAAATTTACAACACGGTTGTGTAATTATCCAGCCTGCTGTCACACAATCAGAGCAGCAGTTCCACTGTTCACCTCTGGACGAGCTCTGGATCTGGACGATAACGTCGTCACCGTCCCCGTTGACACGTACGCAGAGGGGAAAAGTTCACGTTAAAAAATGTAACGTCTCTTTTAAAATAAACTCTTCTGACAAACAGGAACCGTGCGCTGAGCCGTGGTTCTTTTTCTGCAAGAAAAACCATTTTAGACGACTGTCTTCAGATTTAAACACACCTCAACATTTAACCCACCAACCAGCAAATGTTTAACTTAATTTATTAATTCTTTTTTTATTGGACAAGCTGCAGATTTAGATTTATTTCCATGAATTCTGAGATTATTTCCCCCTCAGAAGTTTCTGAATGTCAGACAGGAAGTGGTGCAGAAACCACTGATTCTGACAAATCCTCTCAGATTATTTGTTTGGAGTTGATGGAAAGTGAGGCCGGACACATGTGTACAGATGTTACAGGAGTCTGTAAACAGGTCTGCTGCTGTTTACCTGCAGGTGTTTCTGCTCGGAGCGTGACCGAGTCACTGGACTCAGTGACCCGGTCACGCTGCAGACCTCAGAGTTTCAGTTTCTGCTGGAAATCCTCCCAGAGCTTCTAACTGCACCACATCAACAGGAAATCAATGAATAAACTGACGGACATGAAGGTAAAAATGTCAGGTTTCTGGTTTGCAACGTGACAAAATAATCTTTTTAAATTGGGCTGATGTCACTTAAAACAGCTCAGGACCAAGACAACGACTGGCCCGATTCTGGGCTCTTACCCAGTTTAATTAGTCACTGAGTTTTGGACGTGAACTCTCTTTCCCTCCTCCTTCCTCTGAGGCTTTTCTAAACTTTAAATCCACTCGCTGGGCTTTTTAAAAATCAAAATATTCCAACATCCAGCAGAGAAATGAGCAGAAACGTCCTGAAACGAGCTTTAAATCTGAGTCTGTAATCTGGATTTAATTATCTTTTTCCTCGTCGTTTCTTAGGAGACATCGGGAAGGTGACGACAGTCGTAGCCACACCTGGTCAGGGACCGGACCGCCCACAGGAAGTGTCCTACACTGACATCAAGGTGGGCAATGAGATGTGTTAATCTGCAAAGTACCAGCTGCGGATTATTAACGGCTGGATTATTATAACTGAATGTTGAATTATTTCAGGTTTTACCCACTTCCTGTTCAATATAATCTAATCTGGTCTTCTAACAAAACAATTTATTTAGTGTTTGATTGCTCTGATGTGACCCCCCTCCCCCCGCAGGTCATCGGTAACGGGTCGTTCGGTGTCGTGTACCAGGCCCGGCTCATCGACACCTCAGAGATGGTGGCCATCAAGAAGGTTCTGCAGGACAAGAGGTTCAAGGTCTGGCACCTTCCCAGTCCTGTAATCCCTCTGTGGGGACTTTTGATTCTGAAGCTCGTATCGTTTTGTTTTCTCAGAACCGGGAACTCCAGATCATGAGAAAACTGGACCACTGCAACATCGTACGGTTGCGTTATTTCTTCTACTCCAGCGGCGAAAAGGTGAAAAAATAAAATACTTTTCTGACGTAAAGAAAGCAAAAAGAGGAAGCTTGTTGAGATAAATGAAACCAAAGTGAGTTTGTTTTTGAAAACAACTGGACAGAAAAATCATTTTAATTCCTCAGAATTTCACAGTAAACTCACAGTTTGGTTATTATTACCTAAAAAAAAAAGGTGTAACATCACACATTTACAGCTTTGAGAAAAAGCCTAAAAAAAGAGGAAGCAGCTCGTTTCTTCAAACTGTAAAAACAGAAACAGTGAGGTCATTTACTGCAAACACGTCGATAAATCAGCTCTCATGAGCCGTCAATCATATTTAAATCTCGGCTTCCTGTTTGTTTTGTCCCGCCCAGAAAGACGAAGTGTACCTCAACCTGGTCCTGGACTTTGTCCCTGAGACGGTCTACAGGGTTGCCAGGCATTTTAACAAGGCCAAGAGCATCATTCCTATAATTTACGTGAAGGTAACTTCCTGTTTGCTGTTTTGTGGAAGCGTCTCTGAAGGTGAGCTCACCTGTGGGTTTGTCCTCCTCAGGTGTACATGTACCAGCTGTTTCGCAGTCTGGCGTACATCCACTCCCAGGGCGTCTGTCATCGAGACATCAAGCCCCAGAACCTGCTGGTGGACCCAGAAACAGCCGTCCTGAAGCTGTGCGACTTCGGCAGGTGAGCTGATCTTTACATTTATTATCCTGACTTCCTGTTTTTACTAACTTATCGTTTTTATTTCCTGTGACGGCCACCTGCAGCGCCAAGCAGCTGGTCCGCGGCGAGCCCAACGTGTCGTACATCTGCTCGCGGTACTATCGCGCGCCCGAGCTCATCTTCGGCGCTACGGACTACACGGCCAACATCGACATCTGGTCGGCGGGCTGCGTCCTGGCAGAGCTGCTGCTCGGTCAGCCCATCTTCCCCGGAGACAGCGGCGTGGACCAGCTGGTCGAGATCATCAAGGTGAGTCTGAGTTTTAATGTTTTTATACAAGTCGACCTGCAGAGGTTTGAGTTTTAATGTTTTTATACAAGTCGACCTGCAGAGGTTTGAGTTTTAATGTTTTTATACAAGTCGACCTGCAGAGGTTTGAGTTTTAATGTTTTTATACAAGTCGACCTGCAGAGGTTTGAGTTTTAATGTTTTTATACAAGTCGACCTGCAGAGGTTTGAGTTTTAATGTTTTTATACAAGTCGACGTGCAAAGGTTTGAGTTTTAATGTTTTTATACAAGTCGACCTGCAAAGGTTTGAGTTTTAATGTTTTTATACAAGTCGACCTGCAAAAGTTTGAGTTTTAATGTTTTTATACAAGTCGACCTGTAGAGGTTTGAGTTTTAATGTTTTTATACAAGTCGACCTGCAAAGGTTTGAGTTTTTCTGTTTTTGTACAAGTCGACCTGTAGAGGTTTGAGTTTTAATGTTTTTATACAAGTCGACCTGCAAAGGTTTGAGTTTTAATGTTTTTATACAAGTCGACCTGTAGAGGTTTGAGTTTTAATGTTTTTATACAAGTCGACAAGCAAAGGTTTGAGTTTTAATGTTTTTGTACAAGTCGACCTGCAAAGGTTTGAGTTTTAATGTTTTTATACAAGTGGACCTGCAGAGGTTTGAGTTTTAATGTTTTTATACATGTCGACCTGCAAAGGTTTGAGTTTTAATGTTTTTATACAAGTCGCCCTGCAGAGGTTTGAGTTTTAATGTTTTTATACAAGTCGACCTGCAAAGGTTTGAGTTTTAATGTTTTTATACAAGTTGACCTGCAGAGGTTTGAGTTTTTCTGTTTTTATACAAGTCGACCTGCAGAGGTTTGAGTTTTAATGTTTTTATACAAGTCGACTTGCAAAGGTTTGAGTTGTAATGTTTTTATACAAGTCGACCTGCAAAGGTTTGAGCTCTTCTTTGTTTGCAGGTTTTGGGAACACCAACCAGGGAACAGATCAGAGAGATGAACCCAAACTACACAGAGTTTAAGTTCCCTCAGATCAAAGCTCATCCCTGGACCAAGGTCAGGAAACTCTTGTTTACAGAGAATAAAGTCTGAATCAAAGTTATTATAGTTTAGGATTTTCATTAAAGTTTAGTTTTATTTTGTTGTGATTTTTTTCTTTTAATTCAGTCAATTTTTAATTAGTTTTTACAGTGGATTTGCTGGCTTTTATTATTTATTGCATTTTTAAAGCTTAGTTTTAGTTT